ATATCTAGAATAAATAAGGTTATTATAATATCATCATTTTACTCAGAATTATGCTGATGGAAATCCTGCCTAACATGTTTGAGGATAACATAAGTAATGTACAAAAAAAAAAAAAAAAACACCTAAAAGACTAATGTACCCAAAAGGCTAGTAAAATACAAAACAAAACAACAACAACAACAAAAAAAAAAAAAACCTAGTGGAAATGAGTGAAATGAATCAATTATAGAAGGCTAGTCAGGATTCAGAAGAAAATGTATTTTTTTTTAAGAGTTATTTTATTTTTATTTCTAGGTACATGTGTGTATGTGCATATTAGTGCAGGTACCTGTGGAGGCCAGGGAAGGGATTGCATTCCTCTGGAGCTAGAGTTGAAAGTGCTTTCTAGCCACCTGCCGTGGGTCATCTGGAAGAACAGCGGGGGCTCTTAACCATTGAACCATCTTTCTAGCCTGAGGAGGGTGGGAAATCTTCCTAGGTATTAATGGGAATGAATGGAAAGTGGATATTTTTAATGTAAATGTATAACAACATCAAATGTTTAGAGTAAAAGTAATGAATGTGTGTATGTTTACTGCTCTAGAGGCGGTGGGACCTGGGAGGATGGAGCTGATAAGTGAGGCAAAATAAAGTCTCATGAAATAGCCAACTTTATTCAGAGAATCAGAGAATTTAGACTCTGAGTGTTAAGAAGAGTCATAGAGTAAAGTATACAATCACAAGGACAAGCCTCATGTGGCAAAACCTGTTCTTCCATAGAGGCATATAAGCGAATAACAACACCCAGTTGTAATAAACAATCTGAAATAAGCTCATTCCTATCTGCTACACCTGGAAGGGATAAGAAAACATTCTAAGAACAATGTGTTTTTGAAGAAACTCTTGTCTTGTTTTCTAGAAGTTTTCTCACAAATGCTCAGACTTCTTCCCACGTGACTCCATTCTTGGACAGTTTTCCAACATGTGCCAGACCTGTGCATTGAAAACAAGTTTTTTGCTGAGAAACTAAAGGAACTAAATAAATTGAGAGATCCACTCCCTTACAGTTAGAGGTATATACCTTCAGTCACAGCACTGGGGAAGCAGGCTAACCATAGGTCCACATAGAGAATTCCAGGTGTTTTCAGCTTTGGGGGGACAGAGGCAGGTGAATCTCTGTGTGTTTGAGCACAACCTGGTCTACAGAGCTAGGACAGTCGGGGTTACACAAAGAAACCGTATCTTTTAAAACAAAACAATACAAAGAAAATATAAGAGGGCTCCAGGCCCTCTTATATAATTGGGCTCCATTATGAGACTTTGTCTTAAAACAAACAAACCAGGCCAGACACAGAGGTTAAGAGCTCTTGCTGCTGTTCCAGACGACCAGATGTAAGTCCCACCACCTACATAATAGCTCAGAGCTCTCTGTAACTCCAGTTCCAGGGGATCTGATGTCTTTTTCTGGACTCTGCTGGCAACAGGCACATACTTTGTGCACAGGCATGCACATAGGCAAAACACCCATAAACATAAAGTAATAAAAGACTTCTTTTTTAATGTAAAACTTGATTCTGACATTTACATAGGATACAAAAGACCAAGAATGGATGAAATGGTTTTTATTTTTTATTTTTTATTTTTTTTTTTGAAATGGTTTTTAAAGATAAGAACAGCATTAGCAGTCTGGAACTAGGGTGTAGTAGAGTGTGTGCTTAGCGTGTACAGGGTCCTGCATTCAGCACCAAAGAGAGGGTGGGGAGAACTTCAAAGCTTGCTTTATTCTACTGTGCCAGCAAGGCGCTGTTGTACTATAGCTGGTAAGGGTAGAATATGAGACATCTAAAGCAGACTAACATACCATACTGGCCTGATTTTCAATTAATATGTGGGACAGTCACTTAATAGAAACGATCTTTTCAGCCAGTTGTACTAATTCTTTTTTTGAAGCAGAGCTTCTCTTGGTATGTAGCCCAGACTGACTTCAAGTGTATGAACCTCTGCCTTAGCCTCCCAGGTGTGGGGGTTGCAAGTGTGGGCCACTATACCTAGTCTTATAAATGAAGTAGCCTTCAACTGCACACCCTTAAATGCCTGCTAGGGAAGTGAACTGTGTTCTCAGCCCATTATAAAAGTACAACAGACATGAGTCATATCACTAAATGTAAAAGATAAAATTATTAAACTTCCAGTAAAAGTTTTTGCAAACTTTAATTAGTCAAAGATTTATTAGGACACAAACTATAAAGAAAAAATAATGAATTCAAGTTTTAAGTTAATTAAGATTAACAAACTTTTGCCAGACCGTGTAGCATGAGCAAGAAGCCAAGCTAGTAATCAAGGAGGATAACGTGAGCCTGTAGCTCAAGCTCAAGGCCATGCTAGGCAACCCTCGAAAGAACTTGGCTTGAAAAAAATTACAAACTTGGTTTTTAAAGACTGTTCAGAAAACAAAAGGCAGAGTATCTCCAATATATATATATATGCATCAGAGGACTTACATCCTAAATCTGTAAAGGATTCTTACAATTCAAACAATAAATACCATGTTGAGGAAGATACATGGATGACAGATATGTACACAAAGCAATATCCCTTATTACTTTTGGAGGGAAATGACATTAAAAAAAAACACAATGAGATACCACTGTACTACTAGAGATATGACTAAAATGAAAGGGACTGACAGGCCAGGTGTGCATGGATTCAGAACAACGGGAACCACTTGTACATTGCTGGTAGAATGTAAATCAGTACCATCTCTTAACCCCACTGCCTGGGGGACTTCCCAGTGGAAGCAAACTTGTCTAATATGTCAAGAAAGAAAGGGAAAGGAAGGATAAGAGATGGGAAAGGGAAAAAGGGAGATAATGCTTGAACAGTGTCTTGAAAAACTGAGCATTTTATCTCATACAATCAAGCCATTTCTTTCCTACCTTTAACCCAAGAGAAATGAAATTATACTTAAATGCAATTTAAGTATAATAAATATAAAATGAAATTATACTTAAATTAGGAATGTTCATGATGCTTTATTTGTAATGGTCAATAACTGGAAACAAAAAACATTTGGACAGCCAAACAAATTGGGCTATGTATATGCTATGAAGTATCAATACCAAATGAAAGAAGTCATCAAATAAGGGGAACCCTTAGTATGATTCCATCCTCAGTCTTCCTCGCCCTCTCCCCCTCCCCATACCACTCTAGCTTCCTGAAATATGTTATTTTTTATCACACTGGTAGTTGCATGTACCTTCTGTTAATTTGTTTTTGTCTTCTTGAGACTGGTTCTCTCCATAGCCCAGGGTAGCCTCCCACCACAGCATCTGTCTTACTCAGCCTCCCAAGTCTGAGATTAGAGATGTGAGCCACTAAGCCTGGATTCACATGTACATTTTTTGAAATTTATTTTATTCTTAATTGTGTTTATGTGGGTGTGTCTGTATGTGACTATGGGCAAGTAAGTGATAGTACCTTCAGAGGCTAGAAGATGGAGTTGGAACCGCTGATGTTAGAATTACAGGTGGTTGTGAGCTGCCTAACATGCATACTGGGAACCAAACTCAGTATGTACTCTTAACATTGAGCCTTCTCTCTAGTCCCTAGATGTACTTTTTAAATATGTATGTTCTAAACCAGATATGCTAGTGTATATGCTTATAATCCTAGTATGTTGGTGGCAGAGGCAGGAAGATAGTTACAAGTTCAAGATTAGTCTGATCAGCCTAGTTGCAGGCCAGCCAGGACTATCTAGCAGGACCCTGTCTCCAAAAAGCAAACAAACAAATAAATAACTGTACTTTATTAAGCTATACAAAATGAATAAGCTGCTGTTATATTTTAAGCAATTCACTACCTTTTGGCTTCCTCAGCAGTGAAGCAAAAACTCCCTGCCTCACAGGTATATATATGCAGGTTTGACAGAGATGTTCCCCATCCAAACAAACACTTCTGTATCACCAGCAAATTACCTTTCCTCAAAACATTTATAACCAATACTGTTTTCATGTCCTGCCTAACTGTACTGTGAGTTTCCTGAGAGCAGGCCCTTTTCATATTAACTGCCTTCCACTGAAATGCTTAGAACTATGCCTGACACATTAAGAACTCAGTATATATTCTGTGATTTAGGAGTGTGTGTGTGTGTGTGTGTGTGTGTGTGTGTGTGTGTGTGTGTGTAGGCCAGTGTGGCAAAGAAAGTGATTCAATGTATGGTAATTCCTTTTTTTTTTTTTTTAAATGTGCATTGACGTTTTGCCAGTGTGAGAATGTGTTAGATCCCTTGAAAAGACAGTTGTGAGCTGCCATGTGAATGTCAGGACTTGAACTCAGGTCCTCTGGAAGAGCAGCTAGCTGCTGCATGAGAGGCTGATCTGGCTGTGACATTTGTCACCCAGTTGATCACCAGGGTTGATCTGGCTGATCTCACGGGCTATACGGGTGTTCCCTTCCTCACTGCGCCATGTGCGTCCCTGGAAGTGGATGGTAGTTCCTGACTAGAGGAGGACCAGTCTTCAGTCTTCTGTCAAGGGTAGCGCCCTCCCCTGCTGGAACCACCCTCCCCTCAACCCACCTTCCCCTTACCTCTTCCCATCACTGAAAAACTGTTGGGCAAGTATATTGGATTATCTACTTCATATACTTAGCAGTCTTTTTTTTTTACGTAACAGTCTTGATGGGTCATGTTCTCTCAGTACCTTTAAATAGCTAAATGTTCAGGAAATGTCCAGGCACAGTGGTGAACTGCTGTAGTCTCAGCTTCTTGGGAGGCTGAGACAAGAGGACTGCAGGAGCCCCGAAATTTGAGACCAGCCTGAGTGACAACATTGCAAGACCCATCTCAAAAAATCTTTTTAAAGTATGTAACATAGGACTGGCAAAGGTATTAGGTTAATAAATGAGTTTGCTCTTGGTCTCCTGAGGACTTTCCTTTCTCACAAAAATAATGACTTCCAGCTCTTACTTCTGATCATGATGTGACTTGAAGATTTGTCATGTTGCTTCTCTTTTCTCCACAGGGTTTATCCATGGCTTAGAGGACTAGGCTATACATCCTTGACTATCTTTTTATTGGGATTTTTATTGTGGAATGTAGATAACATCTTTTGTGATTCACTGAGGTAAGATATATTTTCATTCCTAGAAATAATCTTGGCGGCATTATATTAAGCAGAGAATTTGTAGGCATGTAGAAACAAGTGTCCTAAAATGAATTTTTACCAATGTTGATATTATATAGCACAATAAAATTAAACTCTGGAAATACTTATTTAAATTGCCTGAAGGTTTAACCTCAGAATATTTTATAACCTTTTTTTTTATGTGTGCATCACAAACCTATGTAGTTAATCACAGATTTACTGTATCTTTGAAAACTACCCAACAAGCCAGCATTGTGGCACATACCATTAATCCCAGCAGTTGGGAGGCAGAGGCAGGCAGATCTTTGTGAGTTTAAGGCAAGCCTGGTCTACAGAGTGAGTTCTAGGACATCTAGGGCTACATGGAGAAACCCTGTCTCAAAAAAAAAAAAAAAAAAAAGAAAAGAAAACTGTCTAGTCTGCTTCATTGAGTAAACACAAATGATTTGTAATAAGCATTTGAAATACATGTAAAACTTTCAATGGAAGTTGCCAATCAGCAAGGTTTAGACTATTGGAAACTTAGAAGTTGAATGTCCTGGTCTCTGTAGCAAATAAATTACAGGAGGGGAGAAGGAGGGAAGTATAACCTAACAGTAAGACTAACGAGAAATATTAAGGGCATTGCTCAGATGCTGAGTGCTTGTCTAGTATGTGTGAGACCCTGGGTTGGATTGCCAACACCAAAAAACAAAAGCAAGGAGTGTAGGGACCATTGGTTAACAGTGCTTTAGCCATTTGTGATCTTGATTCACTGTGGAAACATAAACAAATGTTTACTTGATTAATAATTACATATTTTATACTAAAGGGTTATTATTAATATTTTAGATGTGAAAATAGTATTGTAACTATGGTTTAAAGAAGTTTTTCTAGTGGCATCTACTGAAAATATCTAGTGATAAAATATATATAAATTCTATATAAATATAGAAAATATAAAAATTCTATATAAAATATATAGAATTTTCCTCAAAGTAATGTGGGAGAGAGACATAGACAAGGGTTCAGATAACATGGATTTAGCATAATTTGATAATTACTGAAGCTTGATAATAGATGTGTTATTATTTTCTTACTTTTAACGAGGGTGACTCTTTTTGAGACAGGGTCTCACGTTGGCCTTGAGATCACTAAGTAACCAAGAATGATCTTGAATTCCTTATCATTCTGCCTCCATCTCCCCAGTAGTAGACTTACAAGCATGTGCCACCACAAATGGCTCGTAGTTTGCATACCTTTGCATATGTTTGAAATTCTCTATAGATCCCTGTATTAAAAAGATGCATATATAAATGTGAAACTTTAAAGGTAGCTAAGTAAATACATATTTTGCTTAGATCCCTGTAGTAAAAAGTTGTGTAAGTAAATGAGTAAATACATTCCTTGCTTAAACACTAAGATCTAGCTGGGTATGGTGGTGTATGCCCGTAATCCCAGCACTGTAGGCAGGAGTTGCAGGACTTGAAGGCTAGCCTAGGCTACATGAAACCCTGGGGTCCAGGGTGGAAAGAAGAGTAAGAAACCAAGATCTTAATATGTGCTTCTGAATTAGAAATACCCAGCAGAATGCCTAAGAGAATGACCATGTGTACTAAGCGGATAGTCATCCCCTGGATCTGATCCACTCACCACCTACATTATGGCCTCGGGTTGGCATTTCACATTGGTATTCTTCTCTAACAAATATTAGTATGATATATACTTCTTTAATCAAAAGAATTTGAGACCCACCTGAACTACTAGGGTCAACTTGGGGACCTAAATTAATCTACCTTTTTAAAGTTCCTGCCATATATAGTTTTGCTAACGACTGCTTCCTCAACGGAGCACTTAAGATGTGAAACCATAGAAATGAAAGGAATGTATAGACTGTATAGTGGTATACTGAGATGAAAGGAAATGCATGTGTATTCTCTCCTGAGCAGATGGCTGGCTGGATTAGTGTTTCTCATAGTGTATTCCAGGAAATAGTTGTTTCAGAGTAGTAATAAAGGATTACCTAAAAAAACAATTTCCATAGATCTGTGGTTACTTGGAACAAAAAGATAGATTCTATGGTAAGATTTTTCAAGGCCCTTAATTAATATGCACTAAAATAATCTGTCAGTAAATTGTCTTATACATTAATTTGAGTCATTTCTTCATAAAACTTCTGGAAATACTGTTTTTCACAATACACTTTTAGAAAAGTAGATATAAAGAAATTATGTAACTACTGTCTTTTAGAATATTTCAAAATGTAATACCAGCACCAATGTATCTTCAATTGTAACATTGTGGTTTCCCCCTTCTCCACACAGGAACTTTCGAAAGAAAGTGCACCCTCTCTTAGGTGTTACAACACAGTTTCATGCATGGTGGCATATTTTAACTGGCCTGGGTTCTTATCTTCACATCCTTTTCAGGTAAGAAAAAGGCTTTTAACCTAGCATTGGAAGAATGTCACTTTTTTGACACCAAGTGAGAAGGTGTAAATATAAAATGTTGGAGACAGAATCAGGACTTATATTCCAGTGTTGCCTTTGCCATTTGGTGACCATAAGAAATCCTTTCCTACATTTTTGTCATGTGTATGGGATCATGGAGCTGCTGATAATTGGGGATTCTATCGTATATATTCTGAAAGTGAATGGCTCACAGCTGACTAATATCCAAGAAACCCAGTTATACCCAAGCCTTGATGAGTGGCAAGAGGGAGTGATGGTATATGATCTCAGAGTTTTCAATCTGGACCTTCTAGGGGCAGGGGGACCCTTTTCAAGAAGTAAGTTGCTTATCACTTTGCCCCCTTTGCTCCCTTTAAGGAGACTTCTTAGGATTAGATACTTACGGCAAAAATGGACTTTAAGTTCTTACTGGTCACCCATCCAGTCAGGCCTACATATCACTCTTTTCCCACTTAGGAGACCTTATATTTCTTCAAATCATTATTTATTTGTTTGTTTGTTTGTTTCTAAAAATTTTATTTATTTTTGTTTTATATGTTTTGCCTACATGTATTTCTGTGTGCCATGTGTGTGCCTGGTACCTGCAAAAGGCCAGAAGAGGGGGCATCAGATACCCTGGAACTAGAGCAGCAGATGATTATGAGTCACCAGTGCCCTTTTTTTTTAATGGTTTATTTGATTTTCTTTTATGTGCATTAGTGTGAAGGTGTCAGAGCGCTTGGAATCAGCATTACAGACAGTTGTGAGCTGTCCTGTGGGTGCTGGGAATTGAACCCAGGTCCTCCGGAAGAGCAGACAGTGCTCTTAACCACTGAGCCATTTCTCCAGTCTGCCACCAGTGCTCTTAACTGCTGAACTATCCCTTCAAAGTGTTTATGACAAGTTGTGTTTGCATTTACTTGTTTTTGTCTGAAATTCTGGTTAGGTTCATCCGGATCAGGGCTTACCTATTCACTGGCACTTTCCAGATGTGCAGGGCAACCCTGGCCTGTAGTCTGCACCAGTATGTGACACTCCTTCGTGGGTGATGTGTACGTTCTGATCTTTCACCAGTAGCACACTTAGCCTTAGATTCTTCTTGGGGACAAACTGAACTATTAATAGAAAAAAGAAGCCAGGCAGTGGTGGTGCATGCCTTTAATCGCAGCACCCAGAAGGCAAAGGCAGGCGGATTTCCAAGTTTAAGGCCAGCCTGGTGTAAAGAGCAAGTTTTAAGACAGCCAGGACTTCACAGAGAAACCCTGTCAAAAACAAAAGAAGAAAAAGGAAAAGAAGAGGAGGAGAAGGAGGAGGAGGAAATTAAAAAGGAAAAGAAAAGAAAATTTTCTTTGAACCAAAAATTCACAGCTTTGGTCTAATCTATCTAGAGGGAAAATTGATGGAGGCTGAAGGTCATTCTACAGAATGAAAACCATGTTTTTTTAAGACCAGCAAGTGCATGAGAAACGAAACTGAGGAACTATTGTAGCTGGGGAAAACAAACTTGTTAGGGTACAGCATGTTGGTAATGTTGCCTAGGTAAGAGCCTAGCACAGAAAGAAAAGGAAATCCTTGGGACAATTAAAATGGAAATCAGGGCTGTAGCTTAAATGATATTAATTATTAATAACCTGCTTAGAAGAATTGTATTTTGTTGATTTAGGAGGGTGCCTTAGTCTTGTGGAGTACTATGGATGTTCATTGGAGATCTCTGGTATGGTATAGCATACCAGTCTATATGTTATAGACTGTATTCATTATAGCTATAGGCAGAAAGTACCACAAGACCCAGTGTCTTCAGTTCAGTCTTTGAGGTCCTGAAGACCTTCTGGTTTTAAATGGGAAGGAACAAAGGTGGTAATAGGATCAAGAAACATGCATAGGTAAGCAATCTTGATCTTATTATTAACTTCAGATGGCCATGAAGAACTGGGGTTGGGAGTCTAGTTTCAAATCATCACAAGTTGTTTATAGATAAGGCCTATTGATCAGAACTGTTGTTTCTGGGATCCAGGAGAGAATGACTAAGGGAAAGAAAGTCAGAAAGGACAGATGGAACTAGTTAAACCTTCAGGTTTAGGGCAAGTGACTGAAGATTTCTAGGTCTCCATCCATTTATCTGGAATGTTGTAACAAGATGGCCATTTAGTAATGTAAAGCTTTGACAATACCTTAGTTTCTTTTACCTCAGTCCATTCAGCCTTGTATGATACGTCATTACCAGTTTTAAATCAATAGTCCTTAAATAATTGATATGTCTGCATGCATATCTGAGCAAAAATTTAAGGTAGCAAAGGAAACAGGTTTTACAAAATTAAAAGCAGAGTGCATTTTTCTATGATTAAAAAAAAAAAAAACAGGAAAAAGATTAAGAGGTCAGAAAAAGGAAAACAAACAAACAAAAAACCGAGCTGAGCACAGTGGCACACACCTGTAATCCCATGCCTTGGGAAGCAGTTGCAGAATGATCAGAAGTTTGAGAGTTCAGAGGTCATTCTCAGCTGTACATGGTGAGTTTGAGACCAGCTTTGTTTACATGATAACCTGTCTCAAAACAGCAACAAGAGAGTACCCATTATTCAAAGTTTGAAAATAAAATTAGATAAATGTAAGATGGGAGATAAAAAAAATAAAAATAAAAGCTTTAAAAATTAGGTAAAGTAAAAGTATATAATATAGTAGAAAGGAGGGAAACAGAGGCAAAAAGGGCAAGAAGGATATGAATGTAGCTCAGTTGTTGGATACTTGCTTAGCATGCACAAAGCCTTGGTTCTGTCCCCAGCACCACATAAAATGGGGCATAGTGGCACTTGAGATAGAGGCTAGATGTTTAGAAGTTAAAGGTCAGGCATCCTCATCCACATAGTGAATTGCAAGCAAGCCTGAACTACATATAACCCTTCCTCAAAATATCAAGAAGAGAAGGAGAGGGAGTGAAAATATGAGTCTTGCTTTTTAAACATATATATAGTAAAGTGGAAATACCACTAAAAGTGAAGTAAAAGGAGGATGCACAGAGGCAGAAAAAAACAGGAAAAAGAAATAGAGCAAGCCTTAGAACAGCTTATTTATATGCTCTCAAAACTTGTAGATGGTCAGTGATAGACATAAGGTAGGGGAGGGCCTACTTTAGCTTGTAGACACTCATCTTTGCTATAGTTTATGCCCAGGAGGCACCTATATTGGACTCCTAGTCAAGATTCACTAGAGCTGTCTTCATTTTAGTAGCTTCTTTGGGTAACAAGAGTCTCAGCTGGCCACACTTGGCTTTGCAGTCAGTCCATGGGCTGGGCAGGTTCTCTGGAGACTCCCGGTATTGTATCCCTGTGGTGGCTAATGCTCTCACTACGTAGACTAATGATGGCCTGACATTCACTAACTGTCCCAGGTTGGCCTCAAACTCAAGGCCCTCCTGCTTTCCTCTAATGAGTACCAGGGTTACAGGAAACTGCCACCACACCCACCTTTGCATTACTGTCAGCCTAGACTGTGCTAACAAACTTTCTGCCAAAAGCAGTTGTGTAGGCTTTTTGCTGGATAAATACTTAAAAATATCATCAATTAACAAGTTCAAAGTCTTACAACTAGCAAATGTCCAGGTTACATCTAAACTGTCGTTTGCTGCCGTTCTAGCTTTAGGACAGGAAAATGTAGGATAGTCATATTAAATTTTAGAAATTTAACTAGTAGGTTCTTTTGAGTTTTGTATTCTTATTTGAAATACTAGAAAATTAGGTTTTGTATATGTCATGATATATTTTGTTACTATTCGAATACATTTAAATAGTGTAGTATACATAAAACTATATATGTTATATGTTACAGACAACTTATTATCTTTCAGGGACAAATTCAGCAACGTTTGTCATATGTGCTGATTTAATCTCACCTCCCGGAGAGAATTACTTAAAAGAGAGATACCAAAGCACCTGTTACCTCTCTGCATTTCTCATACCTTTATTTAATTAATGCTTACAGCTGCATTTTCAAAGATGGAATTGTGATACCAACCATATGGGGAATTAAAATATCATGCTTGATTCTAAACTACAAACATCCTGAAATTACAGGCTATGAGTTGATTTGTCTGAGAAATTTTTCCACTTTTATTTCAGTTTATATACAAGAACACTTTACCTGAGGTACAGGCCAAAAGTGAAGGTAAGTGTATGTGGTAAAGGGTAGGGTGGCGGCAGTCTTGAGAAGATCAAACAGGTGTAAGAGGCAGCAGGGAGCTATGGAGAACAGTAGAGGGGCAGCACAGACTTTGGAAGCAGTAGGCCTCAAATCTGAATGTTCATTGTCCGTTTACTACTCTTGAGATCTTAGACAAGCCTCTTCTTTAAGCCTGAGTCACTTCAACAAAATGGAGCTGTCTACATTATTTTATTTATATAATAATTGCATATAATAATTTATATAATAATTATTTTATGTAATAAAAAGCATTATTTTAAGAATTGGAAATTAAGGAGCTGGAGAGATAGGTAAGCAGTAAAAACATGTCCTGCTGTTTCACAGGACCCAATATCCTTTCCCGGTACCCATGTCAGGTGCTTCATTACCACCTCTAACTCCTGCTCTAGGGTACCCAATACCCTCTTCTGGCCTCCACAGCACTGCATTTACACATACACACATGCACACATACACACACACACACACACACATAAACACACACACCTAAATTTTCTTTAAGAAATACAGATTGAATGCCTACTTCTGTGCTTGACAAAGTAGATGCTTAAATACATTAAGTGAAAGTACTTTTGATGCAAGTCAGGAAGGCCATTGCTATATGTTCAGGCGACTGACAGTAACAAACCTAACATTTGTTATATCCACACTCCAGGGATTGTTCTTCCTCATTTCTTTTCAGGCATAGAATAATCTTTTCCTCTCTCATTTTGTCCTCACTTGTTTCTACAGTTTCTCTTTGGAATCTGGCCAGTGATCATGTTTGAACCTCAGAGGAAGCACTGATGAATTGTTTTACCAAGAAAACACAAAGCACCTACTGTGGTTCTGGCAAGATGGTCAAGAAATCCCCAAAGACTTGTCCATTCAAAGACAACATGCCCATCAAAAGAGATGAATGACTCAGCTACACAGAGAATGAGCAACTGGTCTATTGGGTGTTTATCTCCTGGCTTTATCTCATTTGTTTTGGACCTAAGATGCTTACAGAAAAACAGATAGTGTATATTTATATTCTAGAATGGTGGAAAGGTTGGGCTTTTCTTAACAGGTTAACAGTTTGCGCTGGTCATTTATGGAAAATTAATATTTTTTATTTTTTTACAAGAGTAGCATATTAATTATACCTTTATTAATTTTGATTAAATATTGAACAAAGTCATTAAGGACTGGCAAAATCCAAAATCCAGATGGTTGATTGTGAGCCAGCACTTAGTTGTGTCAGCTTTGACTTAGAACTTCACAGATGGTTTTCCAATATTAAAAAGAAGGGGAAGTCCTGGCTGTGGGATTCTAGGTGGCTCCTCGCTGTCTGCCTTGGTGCTAGCTGGAGTGCTATAAGCAAACTCCGACCTGCCAGTGAGTGGGCTCTGTTCTCGTTACCTCCAAGAATTTGTCTTGGGCTTTGTGGCAATAGCCAATCCAAGGGGTGGGCCGTGTAACATCCCCTCAGAAGCTCTCCATGGCACCTGTGGAACGTAGCCCCTCTCACCAGTTTAACGCTCGTGTTTTGCTTTCTTTGATCTATTATTCTTTTTGTGTCTAGCAAATTTAACTGGTGGTCTAACCTACCCATATTCTGTATGCCAGCATAGTTTAAGTTAAGTTATCAGGGAAAGTTGTAAAATTTTCACTTTTTGCATTATGTAGTATTTTCCAGTTCTCAGAGAAGTCAAGGCTATACCCCGGCACATAAGTTAACTAGAAGTAAAATGGTCAGGACTGTTCTGCATGAACTGTACTAAAATATTTATTCCTTCATTTTTTCAGGAGAAGAAATACAAGGGTTGAAACAGTGCTGACTTGTAACTTTTGCAACATCTAGACTTAGAATACTAAGTAATAGCAGTAAAATCTTACTGTGAGGCAAATGGTTCCAATTTGGATTTGAGTATATAAGAAATTGAATTGATTCTCAAAAATAGTAAATGAAGAATCATACATATATCTATTAACTACATCCTGAGCTATGGCTTCAAAAGAAAAGTAGGTGGTTTGTTGTTTTTTGTTTTGTTTTGTTTTTTTTCATGCGAAATTGGTTTTTAAAAAACTTCTCATTTTTTTTCAATCTTCAATCTAAGTAGTCTTAGCCTAGCAGGGTGATGCATACCTTTAATCCAAGCACTCAAAAGGCAAAGGTAGGCAGACCTCTGTGAATTTAAGGCCAGCCTGGCCTAACATAGTTCCAGGCCAGGCAGGGGTACATAGTGAAACTGTGTCTCAAAAATAAAGAAAGAAAGGAAGAAAAAAAAAGGTTTGATTAGTTAAGTAGCCTTGGTACATTTTTTAAAACAAAAAATGTTTCCTTTGCTCACTGGCGTTTTTAAAGCCCAAGTACTAGTTTCCTTCCTTTAGCATCCCGGATGGCCATTAAACAAACACACCTTTTAGGAAAGCAAGACACACCAAACATAAACCTAAAAGAACCTAAGTTGTACTTCCATTATAGGCATGAATCAGAGTCTACAGTACATGCAGTGAGATTCCCAGGTTCTTGTGTCCTGGAACAAGAACTGGACCAGGGACATATGGGTAGTGATAGAAATAGAGACCTTTTATTAGGATAAAAGAAAAATATTCCCCAGAATGGGAGTGGGTCCAAAGACTGGGAAGGGTGTCCACGGCCCTGGCCAAGAGAAACTCCACCCTTTATAGGCCATTTCCATACCCTCCATCTTTTCTGCAATTAGAGAAGGTAGGGCTTTCTAAAGCACATTGTTTTGTTATGTATAGGGGTTCACTCCTTTTTTTTTTTTTTTTTTTTTTTTTTTTTTTTTTTTTTTTTTTTTTTTGAGGAGAAGAAATACAAGAGTTGAAACAGTGCTGACTTGTAACTTTTGCAACATCTAGGACTTAGAATACGAAGTAATAGCAGTAAAATCTCGTTGTGAGGCAAATTTATATTTGAGTGTATAAGAAACCAGTCTTCCTTTAGGTTGGTTTTTGTTTGTTGGCCTCTAGAGCATCCTATTCTCCTACCTCACTTTAACCCTCATCCTCAGAGCTGTGGTTCCAAAAATCTTTTTTCAGGAGCTAAAGGGAGATAATATAGTTTGTATAAGTTCCATGCTAATGAAAGGTGTAATCCTTGCCAAAGAGAGACTAAAACTGTCTTCCTATTTTTATCTGTTGGTTGGAGAGGAGGCTTTGGAGTTTTTGTTGTGGGAGTTGGTTTGATCCCTGTGTTATAATGAGTTAAGTTTGAAACTGTCATATCCTAGAAGACATACATTTTATATGATTAAAAAAATGCAAGAATTTTTTTTTCTGGAGAGATGGTTTAGCAGTTAAGAGCATTAACTACTCTTGCAGGGGCCCTGGGTCTGATTCTTATCACCCACATGGTAGTTCACAAAAATTCATAACTGCAGTTTCTAAGGTTCTAATGATCTTTTCTGACATCTGCAGACACCAGACATGCATGTGGGGTATGCACATACATACGGAAGCAAAACATCCATGCACCTAAACTAAATAATTTTTTTAAAATGTCAGTGTAAGAATATAAGCAAGAAAAATATGATTATGCCAGCCCAACCAATGGCTCCAGAAAGGACCAGAGTGAGGAAAACCATAGCTATGCTTGTATAAATTGTTATGGATATAATCCTTGAAACTGTTAAAAAACAACAACAACAACAAAAAACCCACAAACAAAAAATACCCAATGGTGGTTATGCATTAAAATCATGGCAAAATGCAAAAGAACAATTTTTTAGAAAAAAAAAAAATCTAGTAGTGGAATGGATTAAAGGGAAGATAGCATGGGACTGTATCCATTGAGTACCAACTGTGCCAAAAGAAATAAAAAATAAAAAACCAAAACATAAGGTTATAATTACTGATAGATTTGTAATAGAGTTTATCTTTTTCTTTATGAAGTTAAAGCATCCTGTTTGTTTTCTGAAGAGATCTTTTAAGTCCTTCAGCCTTTTAGTGACTTCTAGGTGTAGGTGGCCTTGTCTCTAAGGTGTTCTTGAGGCTGTGGAGACTTGTGCCTTATGGACACTGATATCCTTAGAGTAACCTCTACAGTCCACATCCTGTCTCCAAACATCCAGTGCCCTTTTTAGCCAAGTGTCAGACACAGTGTAATGTCCCTGTCCTGTATCTCCTGAGAAATAAGATTCTAGCAGTGTGCTGAGTTGTAACCAAAATAAGAGAGACTTTCCTTTTTTGGTAAGACTTAATAGTATGTCCTTTTTATAACATACAGGGAAAGTACACCCACTCTGATGTTACTGCTTGATGGTATTATAACTCCTATAATTTTCATTATGGAAAGGAAGTTCAATTTAAAGATCTTTGGCAAACATAACCATCATTCTAGATGTATCTCAGCCTTACCTGAAATCTTACATCCATCAGTCACTTGTACACTAAGAACAATCCTATGAAGGAATGAATCCAACAAAAGAATTCTTTTTTTTTTTTTTTTTTTTTTTTTTTTTTTTTTTTTTTTTATCAAGCCCGAGCTGTCCTAGACTTGCTTTGTAGACCAAGCTGGTCTCAAACTCACAGAGATCTGCCTGCTTCTGCCTCCCAGAGTGCAGGGATTACAGGCATGTGCCACATGCCTCAACAGAAGAATTCTTAACTCAACATTCAGAAAATTGGATCAACATAAATCATTTTGATGCTGTTTTATTTTTGTTTACCTTGATTTAAAAAATGAAATAAAATTTTAATCTTTCTCAGAACTGATTTTGGAAGAAAATCTGTGAATCCAGTATAAGATTTAGTAGCTTAATAGAGCTTTTGTTTTGTGACACCAATTATTGTTGTTCATCTTATATATACAAGTAGCATTTTAAAGTTTCATAAAACATTTGTTAGGCAAGAAGTATAATTTTAATAAGTTCAGGGAGTTGATGGTCCCTGTTTATTATAAGGCAGTGTGTGCTTATTAGGCCTTTTATGTATCTCTTAGACATTCATGTTTACTGCCATGTTTTAAATTAGGCATGGCCGTTGCGTGGAGTGACAGCTCAGCAATTAGGAACACTTGTTGCACTTGCAGAGGACCTGGGTTCAATTCCCAGCAGAGGTGGCTCACAACCATTCATAAATCCAGTTTCAGGGCATACAGTGCTCTCTTCTGACCTCTGAGGGCGCCAGTCATGAATGTGGTGCATGCATATACATTCAGACAAAACACTCATGCACAGAAAATAAAACTTGAAAAAATTAAGCATGCTAAGAGAAAAACATAATAAAGTAGGGGTTTTTTTTTTTAATGTATGAATGAAATAGCCACATACTTTTGTCATTTAGTTCTTTCTGAATGTAAAATTATGATGATTACATGAAAACAGTTACCATGAACAGACATGACACAATTAGAGCAGGTTTCAGGCAGCAAATAGAACCCATATGGAAGAATTCAGACTCCCTCTTTGAGATGGAAGAAAGGTCTAGTGAGAGGAGAAAGCATCAAGGTAAAGCTGTTAGGTAGGATGGGAATTTTTAGGATGGGGTCTCTTCTCTCTTTAGGCTTTATCCTAAAATAGACTGCAACAGTTCTTTTCTTTGATAGAGAAAAAACACAACTTGAGAATGCTTAAGGTTTTTGTTTGTTTGTTTGTTTTGAGAATTTGTCTTTAGTTCTTATACAATTTTAAAGTTTTTTATTAATTTTTTACTAATTTTAACATTTATTTACCTTAGATGTAGTTTTAAAACTCTTATTAATTATAAATTAAAATTTCAGTTTTTTCTTTAGATGTTTTAAAACTTCAATTAAAGTAGGCTATCCATTTGTGATCTTTAATTCTTGTTGCCCAGGTCTTCCAAGTGTGTGTGTGTGTGTGTGTGTGTGTGAAATTTCCCTATTTTGGGAAGCATAAAATAAAATTATCTTAAGTTATATTTATCTAATTTTTAAATAATAAGTTGAATTTACACAGTTATGAAACAAAACCATCTGGGATAAATGACAACTTTGGAAATATTCTTTTGTAAATCAGACAACAGAGGAGTGGCAAAGAGACAAAAGGCTGATGCTAGGAAGTTAACAACCAAACATTCTGAAAACAAAATTAAACCAAATGTTCTGCCCTGAAAACAGCCACAATGGCACCGTAACTGCTTCCTATGCATCAACTCAAAATAAACCAGCCGACTGTGGCCTAAGCCAAGCAATTCCAACTCCCTGGAAAAGCTTAATAGCATCTATTTGAGGAGGTAACACCAAGCAGCTGGGCAGAGTGGGCACATTTGGGTACCTGACAGCAAGCGAGGCTACTCTTCTGGTGAAAGGGTATCATTCTTGGAGCACCATGTTTAGTGCCAAACATATGTACATGGGGCTGGGAAGATAGTTCAGTGGATAGAGTACGTGTGGGTAGAGTACGTACCCATCATGCATGTGTGAAACCCTAAGTTCGATTCCCAGAAACACACGCACATGCACATACGCATGCACAACACAACACAGATCTGACTAAGTTTATACAAAGGGACTAAGTTTATTCTGGAACCAAACATGAATAACCATGACCTAGGAACAGATCCAGATTGCCCAAATATTATATCCCCACCTTGTAACAGTTTCATAAAGTTTTTATAGGAATAGAACATGGGGAGAGTTAAGAGCACTTTTTGTTCTTGCAAAAGACCCAGGTTTACTTCCCAGTAACCCACATCAGGCAGCTCCAACTTCCTGTAACCCCAGTTCATGAAATCTATATCCTCTTCTTAACTCCTGGCTGGTGGCTTGCCAAATGTGTTACAGACACAGGTCAAATCTCCTCAAGCATTAAGAATTTCTTAAACCATCTTGTAGAACCAGAATTGAGAAAAACACCAGCCAGATAATGTGTTGTCTCTTTCAATTCTTATTCAAACTTTAAGCTCATGCCAGTATGTACAAGATGCTTTGGGGACCATCAGATTCATCTATTCTCCCAGTATGACCATGTTTAAATTTCTTCTGAGCTTGTGAAGATGACTTAGTATGTTAAAGCACATGTCGCTAAGCCTCGTGACTTTAATCCTTGAATGTGATCCATGTGGTGGAAAGAGAGAACCGACCCTCTTGAGGTCAGTTCTCTGACCTCAACTAATGTGTCATGGCATATACTTACACACTAAATAAGTTTAGTTTTTAAAAACGTCCCTCCCTGTTACTGTGTTTAACTGGCATATTGGGAAAGGTGGCCAAGTTTAAACTTGAACACTTAGATCTCACCTAAATCCTACGCTGATCAAACCCACCATAACAGATTCTAAAGTAACCTTTACCCCCATCACTTGGTCCTACCAGCTCTGTTTGCCCAGGCACAGTGGCAAGAATTCATTCTGCCTCCAACCCTTTCCATGAGCAGTGAATGAGAATGGCTATACCATAGGAGAGGTGGCTTGGCCTACTCCCAGAGATACCACTGTGAAACCACAGCAAGGGGAAGTATGGGCTGCTAAAAGCACAGTAATAGGTCTGTCCCTCCAGACTGCAAATTAAGATGTGTGAATGGGGGAGTAGTTAATGTTGGGTAAATAAGGGTCTGTGCTGTTAGGGCCTGAGGCAGAGCACCTTACCTGAGCTGCTTTTCAAACATGGACCTTTTCAGTTGTCCTGGAACCAATTGTGGCTCATTGCTGTGGAAATGTACTTGACTACAGCTAGATGCTGCTGAAGGATGGTCTCTCATCTGCCCCAGGACCTGTCCCTTGAAACCCAGCAGGCTATCAGCCTGGGAGGGATGTACACCACAAGTCAAGTCTTTTGTAGGGAACCTTAATTGTTTT